CTTTAGCAAGCATGATGTCCTTCTCCAGGGACTGATCCCTCCTGATAACATGTCCAAAGTATGTGAGGTGTAGTCTCGCCATCGTTGCTTCTAATGAGCGTTCTGGTTGTCCTTCTTCTGAGACAGATTTGTTCATTATTTTGGCAGTCCATGGTATATTCAGTATTCTTTGCCAACACCACAATTCAAAGGCATCAAATCTTCGGTTTTCTTTATTCATTGTCCAGTTTTTGCATGCATTTGAGGCGATTAAAAACACCATGGCTTAAGTCATGCACACCTTAGTCTTCAAGGTGACATCCTTGTTTTTTCAACACTTTAAAGAGGTCTTTAACTTATCGAGTCTTGTTTTATGGCCCAGAATATGTTTTATTTTGCACTGGGGCAGCTGTAGGGCTCACCTTGTTTACCATCTCTTAGGCATCTTGTCTTTCGTTGCCTGATTGTCGAGTATATTAAAAGTTGTTTCATGTATTTTGTTGGTGTTTTGGTTCTTTCATGTGAGCGAGACGAAGGGTGGGAGGGTAAATCTGGTTCACGTTACTCCATTTTTGCCAGAAGTTGAGATCCTTCATTTTTATTTTTTAAATGTTTTTATTGAAATATAACACATATACAAAGTAGTCCAGAAATCATACATGTGCAGTGCATTGAATTATCACAAAGTTAACACAAAAAACATCATCCAGAATCTCAAAAGCCCAAACTTGAGAAATTCATCAACATTTTGGCTGTAGTTGTACTATTCCAGTTTATGGATATACCAGAAGTTATTTATCCATTCCTTTGATGAAGACTGTTTATATTGTTTTTAGCTTTTTGGTTTTTTTTCCTTAGCATGTGGCTTTTAATAATGCATCAATAAACATTTTTATGTGTGTCTTTTCATGAACACATGCACCCAGTTCTCTTGGGTATATACCTAGGAGTAGCATTGCTGGATATGCCTATGTTCATCTTTAGTATATGACACCAAACAGTTTTCCAAACTTTTTGTGCCAATTAACACTCTCACCAGCTAATACTTAGTATTGTCAGTCTTTTTTTAATTTTGTAAAATTTTTATTTAGTTTACTCATATCTCACTGTCATTTTAATATGTACTTCTCTGATGACTCATGAGATTGAAAACTTTTTTTTCTTATAACGTATGCAGATCCATCTGCAAATCCTGACACCTCCACCATCAAAATATACTTAGAATCTATTCTAAAGCCTGGACTTGACTATCTGACGGCCTTCTTGATTTCTCTCCACTTGAATGTCTTATATAAACATCTCAATCTTAGAAGAGTCTAAAAATCAGCTTCCAAAGTAAACTGAAGAAAGGAGACAATAAAGATCAGGGTGGAAATCAGTGATCTAGAAAATAGGAAAAGAGAAAATCAAAACCAAAAGCTGATTTGTAGTGGGTTGAATGATGGTACCCAAAGACATCTCCAGTGTCCGTGTCCTAATCCTCAGTCTCAGTAACAGAATAAATTTGGGTAGCAAAGGGTACTTTTTTATTTTCTTCTGCTTATGTGCATATAGAAAGGAACTTAACACATAGTTGTATTCTGGTTTCATAACTGATTTTTTCCCTCACTAATCCTTAGATTATTCTGGGAATTAAGAATATATTTACTTCTGCATTTATGATAAAATTTTATTGTTAGCTGACATGTTAAAAACTCATTTATTGGGAGAAACAGCAGTAATAATTGTGATTTTTATAAAACATTACTGTGATTGAAAAGAGTTTTATTTAACATAAAATGTGTTTTTTTTTTTTCCCATTTACAGGTTTCTGAAGGATTGTCATTTTTGCATAGCAGTGTGAAAATGGTTCATGGAAATATTACTCCTGAAAATATAATTTTGAATAAAAGTGGAGCCTGGAAAATAATGGGCTTCGATTTTTGTGTGTCATCAACCAATCCTTCTGAACAAGAGGTAATAAAGGTTTTAGTCATCTCATTTTTTAAAGCCATAAAAATTTGTAATTGTGTCTGGAATGGACTGGAGAATTTATGAGTCTGATGTGTAGAAATAGGCTTGTTGGTACAATGGTATGTTTAAATGTACTACTTTGTAGGAAATTTCTGTTGTTCATTGGACCTAGTTTTCACTAAGAGTATTCTTCAGCTCATTAGTTCCACAGTAGTTAATTTTATTATGAGAAAAAGATGCCAGAGTTAAGTAAATTTGAGAGCTATTGGATTACGTTTTTTTTTTTTTTTGTCAGAACCTCAAATTCACTCATACACACTGTGAATCTCTACCAGTGTTTCTCTGACTTACTGGACCACAGACTCTTCTTTAGGGAGCATATAGTAACAATGATAATAATAACATTTATTGATCACTTTTCTAAGCAGTTTTCATGTGTTTACTTAATTCTCACAACAACTCAGTGAGAGATAGGAATAATGCAGATGAGTCAAGTAGACTTATAGGGTAAGTAACCTGTTTAGGCAGGTGGTAATTGGTAGAGCCAGGATTTGAACCCAGTCTTTCTGGTTCCAACGTGTCTATTCTTAGTGATTATGATACCTGCCTCTTCATCTTTAGGAAAACACTGCATCAGGTTAATCATGTTTTGTGTTGATTGGTTCCTTGTGGCATAGAAGGCCCTTTGTGATGCGGCATCTTATGTTATATTTCAGGCTTTTGCTATGTGTAGTTGTTAAAGGACCATGATTTGACCTAAAGATAATTTGTAATGTAAGAGCCATTTTTAAGAGAAGCAGAAAGAATTTGTTTGGTTGAGTACATACTATGGGTCAAACATTATGCTAGATCTCTCCTCTGCAC